CAATTTACATTCCCATCAACAGTTTATGAGATTCCAGTTGCTTCATACTTTACCAAAAATTTGATATTGTCAATTATTTTGCCTCTTTATCCATTCCAGTGAGTGTGGTGTGGTATTTAACTGTGGTTTCAAGATGCATTTCCCTTATGACCAGTGATGATATATCCCTTTCCATACACATATTGACCTTTTAGATGCTGCTTGTACTTTTTAAATTTGAAGTACAGAACTTTTCCATGACCACAAAAGTCTCCCTCATTTACCCTTTATGATTGCACTCATTTGCTTACTATCCCTAATTCCAGCCACCATCAATTTATTATCCATATCTATAATTTTGTTACTTTTAAAATGCTTTTATATATGTATATTTACATATATAAAATGTTGCTATATAAAACATTTATATATACACACACACACACACACACACATATATATATATATATATATATATATGAACTCATGTAGTATGTGACCATTACAGAAGTAAATTTTTATGTTTTTTTTTCAAATCAGTGTATTTGCAAAACTATTGGTTAAATAAGTTTGAAATGATAGCATGTTTTTTTTTCAGAGACTGCTCACACTTTGTTCTGCCAGGCACCTGGTATCCTGGCATTCTGAAATCACTCTGGCTAGATCTTAGAGGCATTCACAAGTTGAGGAACGTCCCCTGCCCAGGCCTGCCTAGTGCCTAGTTCATACTTCTAGGATGAAGCCTTTCAGAATTCCAGCCCAAAGTTTAGGGAATGAGCCATATACGTATTGTGGCTTCTTCCCTCAGTGGGCTCAAGATCCCAACTCCTACTCTCCTTAGCCTCTCAGACACTTAACTGTCCCCTTATGAATCATCTAACATCTCCAAGTTAAAAGAAGCTCCAAGTTCCTGATTTGCCTCTCTGAGCCTCTCTCCTTTGGATCCTAGCCCAGTAGTGTTTCTCTATTTTGTTAACTTTGCATGTCTTCAGGGAAGTGATTTTTATATTTTTTTGTCCAGATTTTATAGTTATCCTCAACAGTGGGTGGGTCTAAATTACCTAGGCTGCTGTTACTAGAAGCAAATGTTTCTCATAGTTTTCTTTGACTCATACAGTGTTTAAGATTTTGAATTTTTGAATAAAATTTAGGATGTCTGACTTTTATTGCTATCTGAATTCATTTAAGAAAAATTCAGGTTGAGTGATAAGGAGGCAAGGTCTCCTTTTGGAAAAACACTTGCTCTCAACTTGTCTCAGTACTTCTCCCCTGTCTATATCCAGCCACTTTATTTAACATACGTACATCACCATTGTAAATGCTATTATTGAAAGCAAACCTTCTAAATTAAACATAACATTTTTGTTACTAGAATCTTGTTAATAAACAAGATCATCATTGCTTTAAATGATGAGCATTTTCATTCATCCGTAGCTTAGAAGCACCAACTTGGGGTATGAAGTAAGTCACATTTCTTCCACTGTTCCCATTAAATGACTGGTTCTCTATCCAGCCTATCCAAAAATATCTTCCTTACTTCCCTAGGACTTATCTTTTAATAACACTCCATCCACATGGGATATTTATTTATCATTATCCCTAATTGTTATTGTAGGAGAGAGAAAACTGAAAAATATCCTCAATAACTATTATAAGAGACTGGTTGTTGAAGTCCCAATACTTCCCTTAATTTTTATGGTAAATTTATTTCTAAGGATCCATTTTCCCACCAATTAACTCCTTCAGTACTAAAGTACAAGTAAATAGAAAAATACAAGGTCTTGAAATCAATGATCAGAATCATTATGTAGCTTCTTAATATGTCTTTTTACTAGTGTTATTTAATAAGTTTATATTAAGGAATTACTGTTTACCACATGTTGCATGATTTCATGCTCATAGATAGCTTCACAATAATAGAATATGTTGGTTCTCAAGGAACCTAAATTTTATCTGGGAAGAGAAATCACATAGCAAGCAATATAAAATATACATGAAATACTTTTTTGTTTATGTCAATTGACAGCTTAAAAGGAAATATATTATGCCACTATCATGCCAATTAGGAAAGTAATGAGAAGTTTAGGATGTTGGACAAGAAAAGTTCTTGAAAATAGGTCCTCGGCTTAGAATTTGACGAAAGTTACAGACATGGACCTGCAGGAGAGAGAGAGAGAGAGAGATTTTTCCAGCGAGTGGTATTTTCTGCAGAGCTTTTCTTTCCATGACCTCAGCCAGTCAACCTTTATTTATTTCTTCTGCAAAATTTTGAAGAAAATTCTTTAGTACATTGGCATAATGTTGATTTTTTTAATGCTAAAGAATATGTAGAAGCAAGTGCACTATATACAGAAGCAGGAAGTGAAACAGAATGATAGATCATCTAAAGCCTCATTCAGTCTAGACATTTTCCCTTACTGTATTCAGTGTAAATATTGGACTTTCTGCTGGAGGTAATAAGATGTTTAACAAGTATATGTTGACCTTAAAGAGCTTACAATTACATTAGATGTTTAACTACTTAAGTGAGAAGTTAAACAACACTTAATAGTTACCTAGCTATTTAAGAAATGTCTCAAGGCACTGGTTATAAACATAAAAAAAATTCAGTGCTGACAAGTCCTAGTAAAAATCATAGGAGGTAGAATCATTGAAGTTGACTTAAAAGAAAAAAGAGATGTAAATTAAAATTAGTGCAGCAGAGAGGTCCTCTAACTAAACAAAATGAGTTCCTTCTACAATCTCCTAATAAATGCCTCTTTTTTTGTTTTTGTTTTCAATTCTCTCCAGTGATAGAGAATTCACTTTTATGAGGTATTCCATGTTAAATTCTCAGAAATAATGTAATTCCTTATAATAAGTTCCAAATCACCCTCCATATTAAACAGATGGTGCTATCCAGAGCTTCTCAGACCCTGTGTTCCAACATCCTCAGGTGCTCCAGTGTATTGTAGATATTCTGCCTTAAATACCTTCTCAGCTTCCAATCTGTCCTGTAGGGCCTGAGGAAGCCACAGCTCTGGCACAATGGATAGGAGAAACCTTTTATGCTTTTCCCAGTGCTATAAACCTATTGCCTCTTACATGTGCTCTGCTGTGAAAGATTTTGGAGCACCGCTCAGTACAGTGTGGTGGCAAAGAAGCAAAGAAACCCAGGTTCTGGAACCAGGCAGATCCAACTTGGAATCTTGTCTCTGACAGTTACTAATACTCAATTTCTATATTGTAAAATGAATACAATTATATTGTCTTCTTTACAAAGATAATGTTAAGAATCCAAGATGATAACATAATAGTAGTAATAAATAACATTAATATTATTGGGTTTGCTTTTGCTTTTTAAATCGCAATGTAAAACTCCTTTTATATTTTGTTAACTTTAAGTTATATGAAACTAGTTTTTGTTTTCTCTAAGTCTCCTCCTTTGGATATATACTTCAAGTTCCTCCAGCATATCTTTGTACAACATAAATTCAAGTTTTTTTCAGCATCTTAGTTGCACTCTTCTGGATGTCCTACAGTGTCTTTATGTCCTTTTTGAATACGTAGTACTAAGAATAGAATGTACCCCTGTAAATGAGTCTCTACAAGCTAGTCATTGAAGGGGAAATGGAATAGAGAACCAGAAAAAAAGATATTCTCACTGAAGAACAGTGTAACAAGCAAAAGAAACCATAATACACATGTCATGAACAAACAAGCATAACTGACTAAAAAGAGAATCATGGGGAAAAAAAGACTTTTAAAGTGTTGGATTATAAAGTCCTTGGAGTCATGAGACTGTGACTTCTATCCAGCATAAAGGCAAAGGAACAAAACTTGTCATTACCGGAATCTAGTCTATCTCTTGAAAGCAAGCAGCCATGGCTACTCACAAGCAACAAAATGTCTTCAGTAATGTAATCCCTCTGTGCTCCCCTTAACTGGAAACAATAAATGACCCTGGAATCACCCCAAAAGAGATGCCAAAAAAATTGGAGAGGACTCTCAAACTACAAATGTCCTGGGTCTTTAGTTTTGACTGCTGCACTCCACTCTGGGTGAAAGAGTTATAATTCAAAGAAACTGCCTTTCCCTAGCCTAGGAACCACAGCTCAGAGGCTTCCACCTACAGTTTTCCCTTACTCCTTACCCCTACTCTTGCCTTCTGGTCTTTCTTCTATTTTTTCAATATAACATAAATACTTAGAGTCTGTTTGGGTTTAGAGTCTGCAGAATAGCAGTTGCGTGACCTGGACAAATTACTTCTTTTTAACTCAGTTTTCTCTTCTTAATTTTTACAGTACCTTAAAAATTAATTGTGAGCATTAAATGAGTTATGAGTACACAGAAGAAAGCCTGGCAATAATGAAAACTATGCTAATTGTGGTTTTGAGTCATTATTATCCACAAATTCAACAGATACCAGATACTGCACTAAGCAGCGGTAATAAACTGATGAACAAGACAATCCTGTACCCTCGATAGTCACATTTCTCTTGATTTTTTGAGAAAGGTTATGACTTTGGAACCGCACTCCTGGATGCTATTTTAGAAGCTACTATTTATTGTCTTTGTAACCTCGTATGACGCACTGCATCTCTCAGAGCCTGCTTCCTCATCTGCAAAATGAGGATTAATAAAAATCAATTTCAAAGATTTGTTCTGACCATTAAATAAGACAAAATAAGCAAATTACTTGGCACACAGTTGGAACTAAACATAGACTTCTTTCCTCCTATGCCATCCTCACAATCCTTGAGGCTGGAAGAGCCCATTCTTAGCTTAAAAGCCAGCACTTCTTTTGGAGTGCCAGGCAGGAGTATAGAGGCAGAGAGCAACTGGTTAGTCTTCAGGAAGAGGCAAAACAGACGCGGTGGAAGAGAAACGGAGACCGGAGGCATGCAGGGGCCGCCTCCGAACTACAACTCCCAGGATGCTCAGCAAGAGGGAGCGCCCCGCCCTGCCCCGCCCCTCCCCACCCGGCTCGGAGGGTGCTGCCCACCCGGCGGAGCCGAGCGGCGCGCAGAGGCTACAAGTGCCGCGGCTGGGGAGTGGGGGACTTTCTCCTAGAGTCGTGCACCAGCGTGCGCGCGGTGCTGGAGCCGCACCGGGTGGCCAAGGCGGAAGGTGAGTGGCCGAGAGCGGGATGGGGAGAAGGCGCCGGGCATGAAGGAGAGAGCCGGCAGCATAGTGGAGCAGGGGCGCGTGTCCCCACTCCCAGCACTAGGTTCCTGCTTCCCCTACCGGACCTAGGCGGACGCAGCCCGACTCAGGGTGCCTTAGGTGGGCGCAGACTTCACCCGGAATGGATTGATTGATCCCGCGGCGCCGGCGGGGGACTCTGCTGCTTGCGGCTGGTTCTTCCCGCACAGAGCGCTCAGGACGCATCCCGAGGTCGTTTCCCCCAGAACAGCCTCACCCCAGTCAGTCTCTAAGCAAATTTTATGCCTTTAATTGACGGCAAAGAGATGAGGGAAAGTGCTGTCCCCTCGCTTTAAGGTGCAGTCTTCTTATCTGTGTTTTAAAACATACCAGAGAAAAAAGGAGAGGACAGAAGAAAAGACCTTTTGCTGGCCCCCTGGGATTATCCATTCTCCCCAGAGAATGGAAGCCCCGGATTCCGGGTTTCAAGGAAATCGAAGTACAGCTAGTGTATCTCTCATAGAACCAACAGAGTCCCCCTTTTAAGAGGCATAGAGGCAAGAGTGGATATTCCTCTCCCTCTTTGTTACATATTGGAAGTCCTATAAGGAACCCTGGCGATTTTATCCAAAGTAGTATAATGTGATTAGTTAATTGTGCCAAAGGTTAATCAGAGTGCCTAATGCCTGAGGCATGCAAGATGAGTCCTCATTTTCAGTAATTGATGAAAGCTTTTACCAGCACTTTCCTCATTGAGGGATCTTTCAGTAGAGGAAAGCTTTGGTTCACTTGTGGTTTCCTTGCACTTAGTGGTTTTTTTTGTTTTTGTTTTAGGTGCAGAGAAACTCTAATAGGAGACACGTTTTTGTTTGAAAACAAAAACAAATCTCTAATGGGTATTAGGAACTGTGTGCTTATACCTTAAGTTGCCAGGTTGACCTTAGGTGCCCAGTGTCTGAGCCTCATAAGAACTGTTGGGGCTGTGGATTTTGAAGAATAATAAGTCTTAGCCTTCTAGTTAAAATCAGTTAGCACCCAGGGTTTGGAATCAAAATAAAAGGAGCCCTTGGTTAAAACTCCTATATTTAGTGATTGTGAAAAGTGAATTATTATGCGTCAGAAAGGTGATAGAGACAAGAGAAAGATGGACAGGTGGCTTTTTGCCCAATCCAAAGTTCTGTCCCTCAGAGGTTCTATGCTGCAGCAGAGGTGAGGGAATGTCATGGATGTAAACTTCCAGATACTCTTGGAAATAGCTTCTCACCTATTTGCCGGACAGAACTTTGTGGGTTTACCATTTGTCATTTATTTTACTTCTAGATTGGGTTTGTAAAAATTTCTGGTTGATCAGTTTCTTGTGCTTGTCTGTTAGCAAATTGTAGGGGAGGGAGAAGAAATTCTCCCACTGAGGGGCAGTATCTAGGAAGAGCAGACATGCAGGCTGTGTGTGTGTGTGTGTGTGTGTGTGTGTGTGTAGGAGTGGGCTAGCTCATGGCATTTTTTGCAAGGATCACAGTGCAGTGTGTGTGATCTACACACTTTGGGGACCAGCACATATTACCCGCAAGGGGATGGGGCAGAGTGGAAGTACATGAACAAGCACCATGTGATCTTATAAATATAGGGCCTGGGGCCGTGTGACTTGCTTATTGGATATATGAAGTGTAAGGTTGGAAGAGGTGGCAAAGTAAGCCAGTCTTTTCACCCACTTCAGAGTTAACTGAGTCAAACATGCTGAGCCCCTTCTACAATGGAACCCAACAGATAGGAATATATATTCTTAAAGCTAATCTGTACCAGATACCAGAATGTGTTCTGAACTAGAGTGTAAACATGCAATCTAATAGAATTGTTAATAAATCTGTGCTTCCCCAAGTCCTCCAGAAATTCAGCAGCTCTTAAAAAGGGCCCCTGTCTTTCTCATTTGTGTCTTTCTGCAGGAAACCTGACTCCTCATTTGAGGGATCCTGTCACAGGAATGTGTGAGTCCTTGGATAAATTTGGCTTGGTGACAGCAGTATGCTTTTTCCAGAGACACTGCCACTTCCTCAGTGCTCCTTTTCTACCCTGACCTAAGTTTCTCAGTGTTAACCCCTGTAGCAAGTGAGAAGATTTGCCCTTTTCATACTTCTCTGCTACTTGCGACTCTCTTTCCCTTCTTTTGCCCCTTTTAGGAGGAACTGGGGCTGAGGTGCTGACAGCCAGGGCTGCAAAGAAAATGGGGACTTTAGAAGCAGCACTCCTGGCAGTACGATCTTAATTCCTTTTGGGTTCTTACCTAAATTTGTTGCTGTTGGCAGAATTTCTAGAAGCTGCTGGGGGATTTAACTAGCTCCCATGGAGCTCCATTACCTTTCTAAGAAGAGCAGCCAGGCAGACCTGTGCGATGCCATGGACCATAGTTCAGGAGGGCTTCCTGGTGACCCTATAGATGTAGCAGCCATCAGGGCTGCTCTTTGCTGTCAAAAACACTGTACGTCTACACCAAGATTATCTGGGATGGAAGGGTCTAGACATAGCCCTTCTCCAGCATCCCCTTCCTCCTGTCTGCAAGACAGTGTTATTCAGCCAAACTTCTTCCCACCAGGACCCCTTGACTCAGGGAACAACCAAATAACAGCAGAACGGAAAGTCTGCAACTGCTGCAGCCAAGAATTAGAAACATCTTTTACTTATGTGGATGAGAATGTCAACTTGGAGCAGCGGAACCGGAGGTCCCCTTCAGCAAAAGGCAGTAATCATCCTGAAGACCTTGGCTGGGGAAATCCAAGTGAATGGTCTCATGAGGCTGCCATATCCTTGATCTCCGAAGATGAAGATGACACCAGTTCAGAAGTCACATCTTCAGGGAAATCAATTGACTATGGTTTCATCAGCGCCATCTTGTTCTTGGTCACTGGCATTTTGCTGGTGATCATTTCTTACATTGTCCCACGAGAGGTGACAGTGGATCCCAACAGCGTGGCAGCCAGGGAGATGGAACGTCTAGAGAAGGAGAGTGCAAGGCTGGGGGCTCATCTGGACCGCTGTGTGATTGCTGGGCTCTGCCTCCTCACACTTGGGGGGGTTGTTCTGTCTTGTTTGTTAATGATGTCTATGTGGAAGGGGGAGCTCTATCGTCGAAACAGATTTGCATCTTCCAAAGAATCTGCAAAACTCTATGGTTCTTTCAACTTCAGGATGAAAACCAGCACTAATGAAAACACCCTGGAGCTGTCCTTGGTAGAAGAAGATGCTCTCACTGTGCAGAGTTAATTGTGATTATGAATTTCTTGGAGATTGCCTTGGCATTTTATAAGGAAAAAAGGTGTTTTTTTTCCTCCTCAAAATTAACAGTGCAATTTATTTGCCAGCCAGAAAAGTTTATTTCTCAAACCAATAGTCAGTGAGTGTTTTGCATTGCTTCTATTTAGAAGAAAAACCATGTAAATTGCTTAAGAAATCACAACCAGCTACACCTATCTTTCTGAGAGCTGTAAACTAATCTTTAATGGCTATGAACTTCTATAGCAAAATGCTTCTAATGACCCAATATACAAATGATTTCTTTTATACAAATATGGGATATTATTCTTTGGGTACTAGGAGGTCCCTGATATCATGGGATCAGTTGGCAACTGATTTTGTGAAAAATAAGCACTAATCACATAAGAAGGCTAACATTTAATTCTCAAAGGTGCTTATTTTCTTGCTGAAGTTTTCTTACTGTAATTTGTCTAGACAATAAAAATACAGATTTGGTGATGTGAATATCATTAAGCTTGAGGATGTTGGTCATTTTAAAAAAATATAAAAATGTCAAATTTAAAATTATTCCTGTATTCAGAAATGGCAACTACATATATCATTGGGATAAACTTTCTAATAAAAACTATATAAATCATCATAAGACTAAGGGGAAGTTAACCCACAGAGTTAATGCCAGATATTCACCAGTGTCACATGCCATTTTCCTTGAAATAAAATTAGTTATTATAAATTTTATTTTCTGTTTCTAGTGTTGCCATCATCCTAATACCTGTGCTTTTGAAGTCTTTGCTTGTTCTCACACTAGAGAGGCAGAACATGAAACTTTTTAAATGTATCTCCAGACACCTAACTTCTAGACAGGTCTGGGTCACCATTGGCTCTGACATGCTCCCAGGTGATACACTGTTGTTATCTGGAGCAAACTTCCAGTACAATTCCAGCTGGATCCTTGGGTACTGTGCCTGGCAGGCTGTATGACTTAGAACAAGTCATCATCACCTCAGGAGTCATTAAACCCACAGCCAAAAAAATCACAATGGAAAGAGAATGAACAAAACACCCATTCAATGGAAATTATTCTCATCACCAGAATTTGTCTCCTAGCAAAGGTCTAGCCATCATTCTGAGCACGTTATATTTGAGGCCCCCAGTAATTGTGCTGGGGGTCTCAAAATGCAAGGTACCTGGTCTGTGAGAGGCATGATGGACAGTGTGGCCACAACTTTGCAAAACACACACCCAGTCTCCACATTGACACTCTGCCTCTGTATGGCAGTTGTTCAGGAAGGTGATGGAGTGTGCAGCCTCAGGTATATCTTGCATTGCATGATTGTTCCTTGAGTGTTCCCCTCCTCTTGCTGTAGAAGTTGTAATTTTTATTTGAGTGTTAGGAGGATCATTGGAGTCATCTTAAAGAGGACTGGAGCTGGGAATGCCTGTGAGAATACAGGACTGAGGGGATGAGGAAGTAATTTCTTGTTAGCTTCTGAAGTCCAGCTAATTTTAACACCTGAAATTTGTGTTGTTGAAGACTGTAAGACACGGATAACTTCAGGGGCAAAGTGTGAGAGTCAGGATGTTTATGTGGAAGAGCTCTTGTTGATGTCAGATTGATGAGTGAAGTACATTGTGTATTATAAAGGGTTAAGGTGAAATGGGAAAAGAGGATGAGAGAAAACAGGTAGGTAAAAGAATTGGGTGAAAATTATTGGTTCTTTGTGCTCTTTGAGAAAATTTTTTGTTTTCCTGTGGCTTTCCTGTCATGGTTTGTGTTGAGGTCACCTTACCAGCTGTATCAATTTTACATTCTGGAGTTTTATAAATTGTCCTGTTCTAGCCCACTTGAGCCATTTTCAATGATGTTTAGGCAAGAAGGGAATGATCTGCTTGGATGCGTGAGTTGGTCTGAGCTGTGTTTAAGAAAGCACTTAAAATACCTTTTAAAATCTCCATGTTTATTCATAGAAGCTAAGTGAGATCAACTGAGTTTTGTTTTTATTTGTTGGTGAGAGGATTAATTTGACAAATGGTAAATTAAACTGAATTAATTTGTGGCCCAGTTTTCAGTTTTTGATGGAGGATGAGTTTGAGAATCAAGTGTGAAGAAGTCTTTTCAATTCTATAAAATCGATGATAAAGGAAAAAAAGTGAAAGCTGACTTGGAACTATTTAATGAATCTTGCCATGCTACTAAATTATATAAATGTGGTCTAAAGGCAATTTTTTCTTAAAAGGCTATTTGGGAAAAGAATATACTCAAGGGGAAGAGGTAAAAAGACTAACCAGTTATATTTCTTTGTTTCTGAGAAGTTTAATTTTCCTTCAAACTTAAAATTGGAAATTAGTAAGTAAATGCTTATTTCAACATTATTTATATTAGCTCATGTATTGAGAACACGTCACTTTTAAGATTCTACTTTTATGAAGGCAGACTTTTTCATCAAAATGGACCAATACAGAAAATCATCTGGATGACTCCTTTAGACTGTGTGGACATAATTCAGATAATTGCCTCCTCAGCTTTCCCCAGGTATTCTCTTTGTGTTGCCCTCTTCCATCTTGTCAGTGCTTACATTCCAGAAGAAGATTACTTGAATTTAAAATGAAGGTCACACAAGCAAAGAAAAGCCCGTAACTAAATAGACAGTTGGTTCCAACCTGACAGAGTGTTTTTGGTGCTAGAAGTACTTAAGCTAGACTAGGTGAGAAATGTTGCAGACATTGAACTGACAAGAGTTATAGTATTAGTCTCGGATTCTTCATGAAGATTTATGACCTTATATCTATCTCTTCAACATGGTGCTGGTTGTTATCGATGAAAGTTTTTATTGCTAGACCTGAAAAAACAAAGCTTTCATAGGTCCTAGGCCTTGAATTTATTTACCTGGGTTTAGAAGTCTTAACTCAGTCATCGTCCTTATCTTAATATGACAGTTTCTCCTTTAGCACTATGTTCCAACAGTGTGAGGACCAGAAAGAAAGCTGCCTTTCTCTTTACTATTGGAATCTGTATGCTGCTTATGGACAGTTTAAGCTTCATGATATTTTTAATAAACCATTAAAATAGGACACCTTAAGCTGTTTGTGGTAGAGTTTACAAAGAGTTTTCTTTGCAATTGGGAGTCAGCCATTGGGAGCTCCTAAAGCAAACTGTATACTGGTCTTCTGTATGAAGAATGTCGTCTTTCCACGGGACTGGGGTTGTGGCTCAGTGGTAACACGCTTGCCTAGCATGTGTGAGGCACTGGGTTCAATTCTCAGCACCACATACAAATAAATAAAATAAAGGTCCATTAACAACTGAAAAATATTTTAAAAAAAGAATGTCTTCTTTCCAGGTTCCTTACTGCATAATTGATTTGTGGTTTAGAGGTTTGCAGAATGGCTGTGAACCATAAAGTTTTTGGTGGCCAGAGGTACTTTTACTCACATGTCTGCTGTGTCCCCTAATTCTATGCTACTTAGGTATACTTGGCCTTTTCATCATAAGCTTTTCTGTCAGATTAAAATATGAGTCCACCCTACTTATACTTACCTGTTTTAGGAACTCAATTGGAACTCAACTCATATCTTTCAAGGCATAACTATAGACAGAGAGACTCTCCCACCCAGATTATTTGAGCCTTCTCTTTGCACCATAGGGTGATATCAAATGAATGAGCCCCATACCTATTGAAAATCGAAAAGTAAGAGTCTAACTGGGCTTGGTGGTGCATGCCTGTAATCCCAATGATGTGGAAGGCTGAGGAAGGAGGATCGCAAATTTGAAGCCAGTCTGAGCAACTTAGCAAGGCCCTAGGCAATTTAGTGAAACCCTTTCTCAAAATTTAAAACATTAAAAAAAATAAGACTGGGGATGTGGTTTAGTGGTTAAGCACTCCTGGGTTCCTCTGGTACAAAAAATAAAAAGAATCAAGGTCTATAAAAGAAAAGCCCAAGTGGCTCTATTTTTTGTTTGTTTTGTTTTACTTTGTTACAGGCAGAAATTCTAAGCAGTTACATTTGAACATTTTGGGCTTCATCTTTCACATGATCAATGGTAAGTAATACAAAAACCTGGATTCATCATCTAACATTTTTTTAAAAAGCATTCTATTTATCTGTTAGGAGAAGATTTCTTAGCCTGAAGGTCAGATTCCATTGTAGTAATTAATGCTGCCACCAGAAAATATGGTCTGACAAGAGATTAACAATCTTAGCCAATGGTTTACCTGCTACAGCAAGATTTAATACATTAACTAGATTCCACAGCAGCAAAGGGATAAGACAGATTCTTACAGTTCTCTGTAATAGGTTTAACCTTTCCTGGAATTGGACATAAAGAATGACTATGATGAGAAGAATTAAATGAAATCTCACTGGCTTTTCCCAGTGTATAAAGGTTCATAAGACAGAGAATTAACACATCGTCATTCAACTGATTTTTAGCTGTATCATTTTACGGTCCACATAATATTCTATAATGTTCTCTTCTAACGCATGAAAATGAACATATATCTTGGGAAGTCATTTGTCTGACTATGGCATCGACACAGTAAAAAGATGTTATTTGAAACATGTAAAACTGATTTTAAAAAAATCTGTGGCTTACATGTAAGAGTATACTTGTGGTTTATGTTTGCTAGTGTGCAAGTTTGTGTGCACATGTCTATGTATGTAGGATATATTTTATAGTCATGGAACTTTAATATCCCAAAGCAATTGTTAGAGTAATTTTCTTATAGGAATTGGATATGCCTTAATGTTAACTATAAGAACAAAAGTCCTGGGCTGGGGATGTGGCTCAAGCGGTAATGCGCTCGCCTGGCATGCGTGTGGCCCGGTTTCTATCCTCAGCACCACATACAAACAAAGATGTTGTGTCCGCCGAACACTAAAAAATAAATATTAAAAAATTCTTTCTCTCTCTCTCTCTCTCTTTAAAAAAAAAAAAAGAACAAGAGTCCTTTCACAGGTCATGAATGAAGAATTTGGAATCAACCTCAGAATGAGATGTCATAATTATATAAATCTATTTTGGTTGTACAGCATCCCAGAAATGTTTACTGAGGTTTTGGGTTTTTTTTTTTTTTTTTTTTTTTTTTTTTATTTTATAACATAATTTTTTTTTGGGTTTTTTTTTTTTTTTTTTTTTTTTTTTTTTTTTTTTTAATTTCAAAGTCATGTAACTGTGGCATATTCAAATGTATTTTAACATGAATTATGATTTTATTATAGGGAAATATGGGCAGCATATTCCCTTGCTCCAAGTTTTACTAACTCTTCTGTTTCAGGAACAGCCAGCCTGTTTCCCCACTGCCATCTTTATGGTTTCTACCCAGGCTTCAAACAAATGTCATGTAAGAAAGCAAAGATGGGTAATTCCTTTAGGTTGTATTTAGAGTTCTTACTCTGTGGTTCTTGTTGTGTTTTTAATTCTCCTTTTCTTGCCAAACAAAAATAATTTGGTGTTGCTTGTTTGCTTTTTGATATTATAAGCAGCGATTATCAAGGTTTTAAGCTTTTTCTTATGGCATCTGATGCTTTATATATTAATAGCAAGTGCATCATGTCATTTTAAAATAAAACTATTTATTAAGATGTTTTTATTGTGTTTGTTATCCTTTATTAAAATCTGAATCTGATGCAAATTTGGTCTTTTTCAAATTAGGTATGAAATTATCTGTGTGAAAAGCATTAAAACTAACACCCTCAATTCTACTATATCATTCTTTTTGCTACCATATTATGAAACA